GTTACTCAAACTAATGTAACAATTTATTCTAACTATTATCATGTGTAATTGGTTTTCATTCATCCGATCATTCTAACTAAAAGTCCATCGTGGAATGTTTAGGACTGCATGAAATCTTCACGTAGTATTATTTGTACTTAGACTACAAATTCTTATTGCCGACGGGACCAAAAGAGCAGGTGGACGTCATACCCGTTATAATATTGGTGATGTTACATGTATTTTCACATTAGGACTGAAGACAGGAGGGGTACCATCAATAGTGATTAGAAGAGTCTCGTCCGATACTCGGTAAAACCTTTGAGTCACGGTCCTAATAATTTAGAAACCGGATATCTAAACACATGAACAGTAAAATTAATTTAACATTTCTGTCTGTAAATCACATACATACTACACACATAACATTCATTTAAATCAATTTATACAGTAAATATTTTGTCACTGTTACTTCCCCCAAGTTATACCTGTTTTGTAGTATAGAACTATTGAAAAGTACGTGTTGAACGTATTACAAGTGAGTCTTAACATCACCCCTATCTTTCCCCACACGTTTCTCTCATACTCATGGAGAATAAACTTGGAGGTTCATGTCATTTTAATGTACTTATTTCATGAATCAATGTAATTTGATTGGCCAGGTGTGGTATTACCAGGTGGTGTGCTGGTGTGCGGTGTTGTGGCCGCAATCTCTTTACTTCCTGGACAATCAGTGGTTGCATTGAATGGGACATCGGATGGACGTCCAACGTATACAAGTGTTTCCCTAATACTGTAAAATTTACATGAGGAAAAATTAAGAGGATGAGAGCTTCGGAACATACACATCGAATACTCGCCGGCTGGGTATTTGTCCGTCTTGACAAAGCCACAAGACATCTGGCCAAGAAAGGGCCACGGAGGCCGTCCTCTTGCTGACCTGTGCCCCTTCAGCTGCGACGAAAGTCAGGCCGACCACCAGCGAGGAGGGCCGGAGTGTCCAACCTTTCAGGGCCCTACTCACCCGCGACGACTCCAGTGTTGATAGCAAACGTAAGTAAAAAACCACCACTAGGAGGTAGCGACCACCACTCCCCAGTGCGTCCATTATACATTTTGCGAGGTAAGGGGCGACTAGCCCGCCCCTCCGTTTTATCGCCGGTGCACTACCTATAAATTCTTTTTGTCGTGACATTTCGACCTTGGAAATTACCTACACAAAGGCAACTTACGAAAGTTTTATTTTTGTTTTTTGAAACATATCCAAAAAATCAAGATAAAATGGTTTTTCGAAGATTCCACGTATATTAACCCGTAACTCGACCTTCATAAACATATATTGGTATTGACAAAAGTCTACAAAGAGATGCAAGAATTTACCCATCTACTTTCATTTTCTCGTGAGAGATCTTAGGGGTCTCTGCTTCGCTTAATTGATTCATCAGATCTCGAAAAAAAAGAAAGTCTTATCATTTTTTACGAACGGGGACTTCTTACACCCCCTCACGCATCCTTTGAAAGTAGACTTAACTGTTCATGACTTTTGTCAAGTAGTATGACATAACATTACTTTTCTTTTCATTTCAAATCTAACTTCAAATAAAAAATTTACGGTGTAAAAAAAATTAAAGGCAAGTCTAAGTTCAATTACGTTAGAACCTTTTCGCAACGCTACGGACGACTATTTATTGTTGGATACCTATGTTGTTCGTCGAAAACAAGAAGGCGTACTAAAGTCATCCATCCAACAGCCAACATTTACAGAGAGCTATTGAACATATAGTTTTAGTATGTAAGTTATTATGGAGTTAATAGTTGTATAGTCGTAAACTCGAAATAGTCATATGTGTAATGGGTTGGTAATTATATAAAATTTCCAGGGGTATACCAGTACCGTTAAAGATGACTAGTATTAAGGGTAACAACTCCATATCCTAAAAATAACACGTTAAAAGGTTTGGCGTGTAACCAAGAGTATGGCCTTTACGAGTATGAGACATATCACATAACGTGAGAGACAGGATTTGCCGAACAACCTCGAGGACCCCACCCACGAACTCCCCCGACAGTCGTGGGGTAGACGCTCGAGGTGATTCGTGGGCGTTGGATGTCACATTCGCGAGGTGTATCGTGGGGGAAGGGGGGGTCCCGCAGTGTCAAATCGGTGACTCTCTCTCACACACACACACACACACACACACACACCACAACACACACACACACACACACACACACACACACACACACACACACACACAACACACACACACACACACACACACACACACACACATCCTTCGAGGTGCCTACCTGGTTACCCAGGTAAAACCATACCAGTGCAGTGACATGGGTCCTTCTTTTTCTTCTTTCTAGAGGTTGCCTCCG